CCTGAGCCTCACCCAGGATGTACAAAGTTCACTTTCAACCACTAAGCGAGGAAGACTCCACCTCTAAAATTCCGGTTCTCATTTTTTAAAAATTTAAATTTTTTAATTTTAATTTTTTTTAATTTTTAATTAATTTAAATTTTAAAATTTATTTTATTTATTTTTTTAATTATATGTTTTTATTCGGTTCCCCTTTTTGAGGCAGACCTCGCCCCCTAGTGGAAAGGGGTGGGTTCTGGATTGCAGCGGGCGGTTCACCCGCACCTGGGTGCCTCCTGAAAGTTCTTTCTTTCGTAGGAAGAGGAAATTTGGCTGTAAAACTAAAGTCAGTGGGGGTGAAAGCGATTCACAGGTCTGTGGGTGCTGTCGGATTTTTCCCACCGGGTATGGAAGGCCGTCGGTTGTGTGTGTGGTGCCGCGGGGAACCCTGTGGTGGGAAGGGCATCCTCGGGATGGAGTCTCTGGGAGCGGGAAGGGGGGAGGGGCAGAGGTGCCGCATCAGGACCTCCCAGGAAGCCTGGGAGTCCCCTAGACTGCGACGTCAGCCTCTGCGGCTGGGTCCTGGGCGCCTGCTCTTGCACCGGCTCCCAGGGGATTCCGGTGAGGCTTCCGTCCAAGAGCCTTGGACCAGGAGACCCGCCCGCTGCCACCAGCGTCCCGCTCCCCACCCGTCCTCCACCCGCAAGGACGCTGTTCGCCCTCCAAGGCCCACTTATGTGCTACCTTCTCGGTGAGATCAGCCTCACCAGGTCCCATCGCCCCGGTCAGAATCACACGCCGTTTCACATGGGACGCCACCCTACGCGGCATGGCCTGGCATGGCCCGGATGTGCAGGGCCCAGTTCGTTGCTAGCAAGGTAGGTGTTCATTAAATACTTGAATTAAGCATCCTAAAGTGTTTCACCTCTTCTCGTTGGTCGTGGAGGGAAACGGAAGCACATCGGCCCCGAGGCCAGCCCTGAGTGGGCCCCAGACCCGCCACTCTGCGGAGACTTGGACCCTAAATGCCTTACTCTCTGGGGCTCAGCTCCCTCTCTCACCGGATATGGAAGATACACTGAACTCATGGAGGGTTACAAGAATTCACTGAGAAGGTGGATGTCAAGTGCCTCATGGGTCAGAGGTGCTTAGTAAGCATCTTCCAACCTCAGTGGGCCTCAGTTTCCCCCACTGTAAAACGAGCAGGTAGAAGTAACGTCCAAGGGTCCCTCTGGTTGACAGTGAAGTGCCTTTCTGTTGCCGTTCTGGAGACAAAAGATACCTACCCTTGCCTTCCTCCTACATCCCTGGCTTTTGGACCCTCGCGGCTTGGTCATCACCTCAGGGGGACCGTTTTTGGCTTCGCTGCTTTGTAAGTTTCTCGAACTCCTGTGATGTCTGGGGTCACGAGTTTGCATATTCCAAAGGGCTAAGCCGGGACCTTGCTTCGTTTAGCTGGTGGGCGATCATCCCTGCCTCAGCAGTGCTTCTAAACAGCCCCTTCCCTCTTGGACATCTGCAGACTCACACTCACTTTTCTGAAGGTTTTAGTTCTGACGCTCTCTGTGGTCCCCCAGGACTGCGGAAAACCACCAGGAGGCTGTTCTTTCTCTAGAGCCAGTGTCCTCAAGCCCCCACACAGCTGCACAGGGACGGGCCCCAGACTGGCTGTCACACGCAGCAGCGGTGCAGGCTCGTGGTGACGAGAGGAATGAGCAGGGGACTTTTCTGACTTGGCATAGTTAGTTCGGAGGTGACATAAATAACATCATTCATTGTCTTCTTCCCCAAATACTGTGCTCCTTGGCTAAAGAAACCATTCTGTTTAATCTTTGAGAAAAAAATCAGGTTCTAAAAAAATCAGCTGCATCGTCCCATCTTGCATGGAGAAAAAAAAACTATCAGTGTCCCTAAAATGATTCTGAAAGGTTTACCTGCCAGACTTGTGAGTGATGGGCATAATTATAATACATATAATAGTAAGAATTTATGATAATAATTTTATAATAAATGCAATTTTATAATAAACAGATTAATAGTTTTATAATAAAAGTAATAAAATCCCAGTGGATTTTATTTTCTTCTTTGGATTTTCTTCTTTTTTCTTTGACAAGCCGATATTATTAGAAATAACATTTCCTGGGGTGCCTGGGTGGCTTAGTCAGTTAAGCGTCCGACTTTCGCTTAGGTCATGATCTCGCAGTTCGTGGGTTCGAGCCCCACGTTGGGCCCTGTGCTGACTGCCAGCTCAGAGCCTGGAGCCTATTTCAGAGTCTGTGACTCCCTCTCTCTCTGACCCTCCCCTGCTCACGCTGTCTCTTTCTCTCTCTCCTAGAAATAAATAAAACATTTAAAAAAAATAACATTTCCTGTTCTAAAAAATAAAAACTGAACCTGTCACGCTTATTTGAAAATACACCATACCTCCCCATGAAAACATAAGTGAATCCCTTAAACCCCGTATTGAACACAAGAACGCAGGCATGGGAGAGGGTATGCTATGTGATACTGCTGATTAAATATTCCAGCTAAATGGCCAAGCTAATTAATGGTGAAAGTTGGGATAGTATTTACTTTCGAGGCATAGTGACTGGGTGGGAAGTGAGCAGGAGAGGGTGTCTGGGGTGTGGATGACACGCTTTCAGTTTTCAGCCTGGGAGCCGGTTACATGTGCGTGCTCACCTTATGGTAATTCATCAAGCTGCATCGTAGATCTTCAGCATTGCTTTTCTTTTTTTTTTTAATATCACGTTAAAATATTATTTATCTGAATTACTGAGTATTTGGATGCAAGGCGAGCCTCACCCTTGCCCCAGCCCTGTCGGGATGGGAAGAAGTTCCACAGGGCATTTTCCAACAATCTACCCCATTGGGCCACACTTACCAACTTATCAAATCCCTTCCTAGCATGGGCATGTCTGGAAAGCACACAGTATTCCAGGGATTTCAGACCAAATAAACATGATACGGAGACCTGATTATGGGGAGGAAGGAAGAACTAAGAAGGCAAACAGGAAGATGTGGTAACCCAGAGACTCACAGCAGAAGGAAGCCTGCACTGCCCCTTGGCCTGAAGCGACACAGAACCAGAAGCAGGGCCATTTGGTGGATGCTGGGACATAGGAGGCAGGCAGAAGCCATGAAGGAGACACAGCCGCTGCTGGAAAATTCCTGGCTTCTCTGTCTCCTGTCACTATTTTCCACGGGTGGGACCCGGCCAGAAGCAAGCTGGTGAGGGAGATGGGCCAGGACTTTCGGAAAGGGGGCAGGGATGCACCTGGAAAAATGGATCCAACCTCCAGTTCCTCTGCTTCAAATCTCCCACCTTCCCAGCAACCTCCCTCCCTCCCAAGTCACCCTGCATGGGGTTTTGGCTCTCTGCTGGGAAGGAGGTCCCTTTGGCCTATGTCTGATTCTAGGGTGATCATTAGACTAAATTTACCTACCTTAGTATCTGCATAGCATCAAGGATGCTCCATCACTTTTCCAAAGATGCCAGATAACATGCTACAGTGGGCACACCTCAGATGACCCTTTGTCTTGACCCTTTCCCCTGAGTATGGGTGGAACATGTAACTCACTTCTAGTCCAGACACATGGGTAAGGTGGTGGGATGTCACTCCCAAGATTACCTTACACTATCTAAGACTCTGTCTTAAAAGACGAGTCCAAGCAAGACTCTCCTGTTGGCCTTGAAGGACAAGCAGCCAGGCTTTGAAATGTCTAGAGAGAAAGACTCCCAGCAGGGGACCGCAGTGGGGGGAGAGGGGCGCCAGGGCTGGGCGACCTTCTCCCAACAGCCAGTAAGCCGCCAGGCCCCCAGTTACACGGCTACAAGAAATGAATCTGCCAACAACTTCATGAACTTGGACATGGGTTCTCCCCAGTCATGTCTTCAGATGAGAACACAGCCCAGCTGCCACCAGACTGCAGACTTGTGAGACCCTGAGCCGGGGCCCCGGCAAGGCTGCCTGGGCTCCTGACCCACAGCAGTGAAACATTATTGTGAAACAATGAATGTGTGTTGTTTTTAGCCACTGAATTCATGGTCCTTTGTTACACTGCAATAGAAAACGAATCCACAAAGTGAGAAGGCTCTCTACCTCACTTTCTCCAAACCACTGAGAACCATTTGAAAAGGCAGATGGGAAATAAGTCACTCGGTACCTTGTAATTGTTCCCGTCCCTTTCTGCCTCCTGTTCTGGCTGAGCCAAAACTGCAGGGACAGTGGCCTGGTGTGGCCTTGTCCTGTGCAGCAGACAGAGATGTATCAAGTGCTCCCAGCTGGAGTGTGTTGTCACTGCCAATGCTCCCATCACAGTGCTCCTGCACAAGCAGCAAGGTAGGGCTGACTTCTGGGTGCTCCGAGGTCAAGGATGGTGACTGGACTCACATCTGGTACCTTCCATCCACAAATGATAGAACCATGGTGCTCTGGTTTGAATGTTTTCCCAGAACTCCTGTGTTGAATCTTAACCCCCAAAAGTGACGGGTATTTGGAAAGTGATTAGCTCATGATGGCCCCACACTAACCCTTATAAAGTGGCCCCATGGGGCGCCTAGGTGGCTCAGTCAGTTAAACATCTGGCTCTTGGTTCTGGCTCAGGTCAAGATCTCACGGTTTGTGGGTTCAAGTCCCACATGGGGCTCTGTGCTGACAGTGCAGAGTCTGCTTGGGATTCTCTGTCCTCTCCCTGCCCCCTCCCCCCAAATAAATAAGTAAACTTAAAAAAAAAGTGACCCCAGAAGGCCCCCTCGCCCCTTTCACCATGTGAGGGCTCAGTGAGGAGATGGCCGTCTGTGAACTGGGAAGTGAGTCGTCACCAGCCCCCACCCTGAATGTGCCGGTATCTTGATGTTGGACACCCAGCAGAACTGTGCGCAGTAAATGTCTGCATTTATGAGCCCCCCAGCCTGTGCTTCTCTGTCACAGCAGCCTGACAGTGGGTCAAAGTTCTGCTGAGGTCGCTGCCAACTAAGAAAGCCATCTGAATGCTTGAGCAGTCTCTTTCATGCCATTTTATTTTCTTTTACACAGACACTGGCGAAAGAAAGAAAAATCCCACAGGTTCTTCTGGAAACTGTCAAGACATTGGGAAGATGAATGAAAAACTTGCATAGATTGGAATGCCCACAGTGTGGATTTTCAAGGCCTAGAAGGTGAACCAGAACAAAGCAAACGGGGCTTTTAGGATAGACACGATTGCCCTCTTGGGGAGGCGGGGGGAGGCCTTAACAGGGGGCTAAGGCAGTCACTCTCAACTCTGGCTGCACATTAGAACGGCCCAGGGAAGGTCTGTAAAACAAACTTTAAGACATTTAAGTATCGCTTAGATACAATAAAGTGCATGCATCTCAAGGGCTTGGCTCGGTGGGTTTTCATGATCGCCACGCCAATCGCCACAGAGAACGTTTCAGGCACCTCCAAAATCTTCACATTCCCTCCTGGTGGATATCCTGGCTCCCCTCCCCGAACCCACCTCCATGAGGGGAAATTGCCATTCTGATTTCTGACATCACAGAGAATAACTTGGGAAGCTTTAAACAACACGGATACTCGGGCCCCGCTGAGGATTATCTGGTCTCATGTGCTGGGTGGTGCTCCGGCCTGCAGACCTTGCAAAGAGCCGAGTGCTCTGATATGCAGCCAGGACAGGGAAGGCCTCCCTGCCTTAAAGCTGAGTCCCACTCCCTGCAGGGCAGCCAGGGAGGCCCCTGGCCCTCCTGAAGCTCACGGCCCAGAATTCCTTCTAGGACTACAGATAGGCTCTCCGGCAGTCAGGAGCCAGGCCAGGTACAGAATCCGCTTGGATGCTGGTGCGGCCTCTGAGGCCGATGGGCCAGGGCACAGATGTTGGTGCACATCACAGGTGATGTCCAGGCAACAACGCAAGGTGATAGTGGCAGACACATGCTGCCAAACCTCCCCTCCTCCAAAAAAAATGACCTTTGACATTTATAAACTGCATCTGGCATCATAGCGATAGTTTTTCCACATCCTCAGCTTTTTATTCTAGGTTTCTCTTTAGCGTGGCGTGGGACTGGGATCATAATTTAGAGAGTGAGCAAGCTTCCTCTGTAGATCACTGGAGATGGAAAGCCAGTGATCCCCTGAAAAGGGGTGGTGGAGAGAAAGTGCAAAAAGGACATGAAAGAGAAGAGAAAAGTCCGACAAACACTCACGTGGCTTTTGCAGGATGGCTTGGAGAACCCAAACTTCTGGGTGATCTGGTTGGTCCTGAACTCCTGCCACTTGCCGTCCACCAGGGTCTGGGCTCTGATCTCGTACTTCACCAGGCGCTCCGCCCGCAGGCTGATGGGGCCGTGCTCGCAGTCACTGTGTCTCACTCTCTGCAAGGAGGGCGATCCACCTTAGGTGGAACTGAAGCTGGGGTGACCCCGAGTTAGCAAACCTTGGCTTGTTGACTCTCCTGTAGAAGGTGTGCGGAGAGCAAGGGGGTGTTCCCCGCAGCCCCACCTCCTGACAGCATCTGCTGCTGCTGAGTCAGCTGGGACTTGAGCCCCTCACCTATAGCATCACTGGCGGACAGACGGACTGGGGTTTGGCGAGCCCAGAAAAATGCCACTAAGTGAGGCTGTACTGAATCGGAAGGTCTTCACCATCGCTTTGCCAGGATTTAAAAACCAACAGGGTTCACGTGAGCATTTGGATGGGCGTTATTACATAATAATTCACCTCTTGCATCCAGTCAACTCCATGATGTAGGAAAATGCCTGAGTCATTGAAGACCAAGCACTGACCCAAGGAAGAGATGTGACCCACTCAAGGGCACGTAAGGAGGTAGTGGCGAAGCTGGGGTAGGTTTCCTTACACATGCATTTATCCATTTACCCGCTCACGATACAAACATACCTTCCCTGTGTTCCGGGTACTGTGATTAGTGGCGATAACAAAAAGACTAATGAGATATGGTTTCTTAAGGAGCTTGATGCCTCAGAGACTTCCAAGGCAAATCCTAAGGGGAACATAGCGGTCCCTGATTATAGTTGTCACTGTCATTGTCATCATCATCATCATCATATAGTGCCTTCTGCGTCAGGCCCTGTTCCTCATGCTTTGCACAAATTAATGCAGTAATACTGCCCACAACCAAGTCAGGTAGGTCCTATACCTTTCCGATTTTAAAGCTCAGGAAGCTGGACATGGGGAGGTTCATGGGCTTGCCGAGGCCATGTAAGCTTGACTCCAACTCTCTGCTCTTAAACACAGCACTCTTCTAGCACTCTTCCAAAAGTCTACAGCAGGACACTGGGTCAAAGGTCACTGCCCTCCTGAATCTGGTGTCCTGTCCATCTCCCTGCTTTGCCTCTATAAATGCAACCGTTCCCTCTTCCCTTCACTGCAGAATGACCATCTGTAAAGCACCACCCATCACGTGAAAACAGAAGATGAACTGAGCCCCAAATGTAGAGTCAGAGTCTAGAATTTAGCCCCGACTTTACCAATAGAGGCCATATGGACCCAAAGACACTCAAACCTCCCAAGTTTCTAAAAATCAAATGGCATCACATGTCTGAGCATGACTAGCAGCAGGCTTATAACACATTCCAGATTAATCATTAACTAGTGATTGATCAATTCTTCTTAATTGTGTATGAATTGACTCTGAATCTAAAAGGCCATTTCAGAGACACGCCTTTCCTGTGCGCTGTCCTTCTTACCTGCATGTAAAAGCTGTAAGAGGTAGTATCATGTTTGATTCCCTTTATTTCAAAGAAGAATCCATATATGGCAATCATTTCTGAATGAGTTGTATACTCCTAAATTGGGAAGGATAAACAAACAACAAAGTGATGGGAAAAAATCTTCCGTATTCAAAGGCAAGAAGACATAGAAAAAACAAATTCTAGCTGAACCAAAAGTGGCTAATTTGACACACAAAAGTGACTAATTAAAACACAACAGCGATTTTAGCTTAGGAAGGGCCAAACTGTATGACTTCACAAACCCCATGGGTTAATACTCATTGATGATATTAACTGCTTTGCATATCCTCTAGTGGGGAAAGGGATGAGTTAGGCATGCTCTTAGATAATCTGTGGCCCACAGACCTATGAAACAAAGCATTTGCTCCAATTTGGATGGGCCTCGAAGATACCCCATATTCATGGTATTGCGAGGTGTCCTGGCCCCTGTGGTCTGTGGTCTGTCCACTGAGGCAGGTCTCCGCAAGCAAGGGGGGAGGCCCAGCCTATCCAGGCCTGACCCAGAGGGGAGTCTCTGATGAAAGATTCAGAGCCCAGAGCCCCCGAATCATAGATTCTTTTGAGATTGCTACGGGAGTGGCTTTAAACGAGTCTGAGTACGGCAGTTTCAGGGAAACTGATCACAGGGAACCCAAGACAGAATGCAGCCACTAGGCCTGCATCCGCCCCTGGTGTCTGAGAGCCCAGATGCCTTGCAGCCAAGCTCCCTGACCCACTTTGCTTTGATTTGTGTGTGGGGGGGGGAAGGCTCATGAAAATATCTGCCCAAAATGGCTTCCCCTTGGCAACTGCAAACTCAGGCTTGGAGTGGAATCTATCCCTGAACCGTTGGCAAGTCTTGATATTTGTGGGGAAGAGAATGACCAATTCATCCCAGTTTGCCCAGGCCTTTCCTGGTTTCAGAACTGTAAGTCCTGCATCCCAGGGAAGCTCCTCCTTTCCTGAAAAACAAGGACGGTTGGTTGGTTCACTCAAGGAGAAATTTTGGATATGCACATCAGATAAATGAATGGCCTTCCCCGGGCTCCTGTCTTGTGAATTTTATTTCTTAGGATGTGGTGGGAACATGCGGAAGAGACACAGCTGTTTTCTTTTCTGCCCTGGCCTTCCTACCAGAGGTAAGAAGCAATTATACAAAGGTCCTTCCCCAAGCGTGGGAGAGGATGGTCCTTCCCCTTGATTGGGCCCAGGGGGTCTGTACCTGCCTAAAGAGTAGCCCGAATCTCACAGCCTGGGTGGTAAGATCTTTCACGTGGGCCATGTCACCCCCATTCTCCAGCTGAAAGAGAAGTGCACACAGCTCATTGGAGATCTGACCCTGGACACGAGCATCTGTCCCCATCTCTGCGGCGGTTCATCGACCCCACACCCCCACCATGCTTGATAGAGCTCTGTCTCTGGATCTCAGACTTGGCCATTGATCCAGTCTACAGTACTTGTTGAAGCCTACTATGTGTCGGGTACTGTGCTTAATGCTTTCAGAGAACAAGAGATGAGCACAAGAAACATTTCTGAGAATTTTCCCCGGGGAAAGAAAATGTCTACATAAATAGCCTGATCATGATGCAGAGAATGATCACGCCCATAAAGTCATGACCCCACATGGTGGGCTCCATGACATGGCAGGCTCCCACAAGGGGCAAAGGGAAAGAGGTAGGCAGGGTCAGAAGACCATGAAGAGGGTGTGTGTGGGGGGAGGGGAAGTGGGAGGAACTTCCTGAGGCGTCCAGCCCCAAGGACTGTCTCCCGCCTCCACCCTGCTCTGTTAGAGCATAGTTCTGAGTTACGTCCCAGAGAGGCTCCATTCCATGGAGTTGTTATCTGCTGTGCAGGGGCACTGGGTACTGTGGTTTGCACATTACAATAGGTATTTGTTGGGCTGAATTGAATTTTAACTAGTGACTCATAAATCTTGGGAACTCAAACACTGCCCTACTTCATCGCTAAAAACGCATGCTTGGAAACACGAGAAGTCCAACAGTGCGTGTAGACAATTCACAAAGGGGGAAATGCCACATGGAAAAATATTCATATTTACTAGTAATAAAGGGATGCATATTGAGAAATGAGATTTCATTGTTTGCCTCTCAATAGACAAAAGGGATCTGAGATAAAAACGCCCTATATGGGCTGAGCACGTACAAAGTGAAGTAAAGCTCATTCGCAGTTTGGTCCCAGACTGAATAGTATCAAGAACAAAAATGAACATTCCTTTTTGGGCCAGTATTTTCTCTTCTTGAGAATCTCCTATAAGAAAATAATTCTAAGTATAGTAAAATAAACCATCACGTGCAAATATATTCATCCTACAGCCACCTCTAACAGTTAACAATTAGGAGTCCTGCAAGTTTTCTGCACCAAAGGACAGGCAAAGTAGCACTGTTTATAGCAGAGCAGGTGGAAGAGCTCGCAGCCAGTAAGACACAATGAGATCTTAGTAGTGGTTGTCTTTGGGTGCTGGGTCTCAGGGCTATGTCTTTTCTTTCTTTCTTTCAGTTTCTCTGCATTAAAAAAAGTTTCAATAACACGCACGTGTTACCTGTGTGTCTGACAGGGGGCTGGGTCAGGAGGGCGGGACAGCCAGTGGTCCCTACGCGGCTCACTCCCCAGGTCTACAGTGCAACAGTGTGCAAGCCCGAAACACCTGGCTCCGCTGAGCCTGAGCTTCCTCCCTCCACCCCTCCAGGCTTGAATCTCCCGGCTCCCCTTGGAGGAGGAATCAGAAACATCCCGACCTCAAAGGCTCTGAGGTTTCAAATGCAAAACACATCTCCAGAGAAAGCCAAGTCAGAAAAGCAATAAATTTCAATAATTGTTTCCTTGCTGAGCTGGCAACTTACTGCGTGGTAATGGTTGGCTGTAACCCGGATCAGCCAGGACTCCGGGAAGAAGTTAATGTGCCTTAGCAACTCCAGGTTTTTGCCTTGGAAGAAACACAAAGAGAACATTTTTATAGATTTATTCATAACAGGCTGATTTGCAGAGAGAACAAGGAGGAAGTCAAGGGTTGAGGACTGGAGGGCCTGGCCAGGGCCCCCGGGGGATCATAAGATGCGCAGAGCCTGGATGGAAAGGCACAGAGCACCTTCCCCACTGAAGTGCTCACGGGTCCCCTGGCGGAGATCCTGCCCAGGATGGGAGGGCTGAGTTCAGATGGTCTGTGTCTTTGCAGGGTCCAGAAGCAGCTTGGGACAAAATGACTTGGGGTCCCTCAACCATCCCTGGGTTTTAAAACTATGCGTTTCATCTGGATAATTGGAAATGGCTTTGAAAACGGTCCCAAATGTGCTTTCATTCGCAAAGGTCTCCCTGGGGGGCCACCACCCTGGCTGCCCCAAAACACACTCCGCAGGGGGCTTTCTCCTCCTTCCAAGTCACAGATACCTTCCCCCAGGCCCAGTGAAGGAGGCTGAGAAAGCCAGACCCGGGGCATGGACCCAGAGTCTTCTCCCCAACTGTGGGGCATGTGATCCGGAGGGGACACTGCTCTAAGATGCAGGGCACATGGCTAGATAACAATAACACAGCCCTTGGCAGCTCTTTCACAATCCATAATTCCCTTCGTCCAATATCATATTTGGCCGAAGTTGTGACTACTCCCCATTTTACAGACAGGGACACTGAGACCAGGCGGTTACATGACTTTCCCAAAGTCACACAACTTGGAAGTGACAATGCCATATCTCAGCTGATTCCTTCAGAAATGCCTGCTGAGTCTTTCCTGGGAGCTGCTGGGGGCGGGTGGAGTGGGGGACAGGTCCCCAAGAGCCTCCCCAGACTGTACTCACTCTGGCAGGGCTTACCTTTGACGATGCTGTGCAGGCGCAGGCAAAGGAAGAGTGGCACCAAGCTCTGTCCCGTATCCTGATCCAGAAAGGAATAGTTCCTGGAGAAGCTGAGCAGAGGTACAAAGAGGAACCAGAGACTGTCATAAAACTCTTTTCTGGAATTGGCGAGGGCTCATGAAAGTCATGTCAAAGAGACTGGGGGTTTTGCCAGTCAGGGGTAGATGGTGCTGGGTTCTCTCTGGATGGGTGAGGTGTGTGGATGCAGGGGGCAGCTGGGACAGCCTGGGTGAAGGCTGACCCCACAGGTTATAATGAGACACTGGTCCTAGACCCCTTCTGGCCATGGCTGAGCTACGCACATTGCAGGTGCACAACGCATACTTAGAAAGTAAGTGACTGGCGGTAACACTGTGTTACTTTCGGGAGGATTTCAAGATACATTTTCTCACTTGAGTCTCACAAGCATCTTGTGGGCCAGACAGGGCAGGTATCATCAGCCCCATTTTACAGATGGAAAAAACAAAGCCTCAATTAGGACTTGAGCCCAGGACTTTGTATTCCTCCTCTACACATGTTGCCCTTTCAATGGTGGCCAATTTAGGCCCTTCAAAGGTGCCTTCTGGTCAGGTTAAAAAGAAGGAAAGCGGGTGACGAGTTTCAGGAGCTGTTCTTCCGCGTTTACTGTCCGTACTAAACTCCAGTTAATTTCCACCCATTGCTGAAGGTCAGGGCTGGGTTGAGACCAGATTTCCCTTTGCAAACACGCGTACACACAGGCACACATCTACCACTCTTGTTTTGCAACAACTTGTTTCATAAAAGGGTCACTTTTCACCAATGGGGACAATGGGGGTGATTTTCTGAGTCCCTTTGGAAATGCAAAGTCATTCCCTCAAGGCAGATGCGTATGAGACGCTTGCAGATTATTTTTCCATGAATCAAGAGTGGATTCCAAATCACACCCTGTCTCAGCCAGACTGAAGGCACCATTGGCCCCGTGTCCTGCCTCTGCGGGAGGCATCCGCCAGCCTGCTGAGGACCATTCGCTTCCAGAAGTCCTAGGAATTCCTGGGACTCCCATGTCCGTGGTCCCAGGAGATAGTTTAGGGATGTTGAGGCACATGGGGTGGGAGAGGGGCATGAAGACAAATGAGTTGATTCAATTCAGTGATTATTTATTAAGACTCCACTGGGTGCCAGTCTCTGGTGGTAGACAGATCAGGCATAAATAAAGGAAGGCTGATACTTTCAGGGACAGTGCAGCTCTACTGATCCCAGAACCAGCCCTCCGTTAGCCAGCGCACGTGCAGCGGGGCTAGTGTGGGCCAGGTCCGTGCCCAGAGAACATGCTATCTTAGCTGAACAAATAACACTCACTTGCTTCCTTCCTTGCCTCTCTCTCACCATGTAACGGAGGAACAAGCTAGGTGACATCCTACTGGGTGCAGGTATCACAGAGGGAAGAAGGGGCCAAGCTGGCACAGTCCCCCCAGCCAAGCTAAGTGCCCTGGGGAATAAGCCTGCGCCCCCAGCAAGGGCCCCTACAGCCTCCTGCTGCCCCAAGAAGGGAGCAGTTGCTAGAGTTGCAGGTCAGACAGTTTCAGCCCAGAAAGCTGGACAGTTAGAGGACAGCACATCCCCTGTGACCCAGAAGCCCCCAGGCACTGACTCTGCAGCTTTGTGGGACAGCTGCTGGGAGAGAAAGGAAGCCAAGACCCTGAGTCTCCTGGGAGTGGCGCTCAGATCTGGAGGTCTCCCGACAGACCCCCTCGCCCAGAGGATTCGAGAAAGAGCTTTGATGAGACAGGCGATTGGACTTTAAGATCCCTTTGGGTCACAGGAAAATGGCACTGACGGCGGCTGACTTACGAGGTCACGAGTCTGCTCATCCATTGTCTGATCATGCTTCTGTGAGCTTGGGCTGGAGTCAGACAGACTAGGTTCCAGTCCTGGGCCGGCTGGCCATCAGTCACGTGACAGAGCCTCCCTGAGCTCCAATCTCCTTCTCTGTCAAGTGGGGGCGACAGCCACATGTGCCTCCGTGGGTAGCAAGAAAAAGCAAAGGTGACGGTGCTGGGCCCAGCTGCTGGTGCTCAGGGAGGACTCCATACCTCATGAGGACCACCACTGTCCTCTCGTCCCCGGGAAAGTGACCTGGACTCAAGCTGGCCAAGCGCATGGAGTTGTTCTTGGTGACATTCATTATCACTGCCAACCTCTGAATTGCCCAAAACATGGACCATCTCAGAGGAAGAAAATGGCGGCTTCAGCTATTGATTTTCTAAAATCTGAAAGCATCAGAGGGATGTTGTTCAACACCTTGAACCAATGCATACAGCTCTGTCCATGGAGACTGGTGAGGTGGATTGCAGCAGACCCAGGACTCTACCTAGGCCTCCTCTCCACTGTCTGAAGGCACAGGCATCCGCTTCTCTCTGGTTCTGGTAATGATGGGCACATTCACCTGACTTCACGTAACGTCAGAAAAAGCCGACACGAAGCTGGGGGTCTTCCTTGCATGGCTCTGTTGGTGGGATCAAATGCTGGCGTGGCTTCTCCTGGCACTCAATGCCATCTGTACATTGGGTTTAGCACTTTGGGTTTAGGACTGACTTTTCTGGAACAAACGTCAGGCCATGGTGTCTGCCTCGTACAGTTCTTCAAGAAACCCTTGGGGCATGACCCCATTGGGATGAATAGTTCATAGGTCCTTGAGACTGAAAGACACACCCAGGTTGGCTCTGGGTCTTGCTTTCAAGGGCTCAAGGACAAATCTCTCACAGACTTCCTGAAAGGCAATGCCCGGGACAAGTGTCTCTCTGACTGGCACCGCTTGTAATTTTAGAGCTGCTGTTAGCCACAACCTTCTCACTTCCCCCATCCTGTCATCCGTTGGAGTCATTTACCCTTCCTGTGAGTGTCTGACTCAGAGCCCTATGACCCCAGCACCTCAAATTTTAGCCTTAAAATATCCACTTTGGAATTCCGACACATGATATTCCATGGATGAGCCTTGAGGACTTTATGCTCAGTGAAATAAGCCCAATGTGAAAGAACAAATTCTGTGCGATTCCACTTACATGAGGTTCCTGGAGTGGTGGAGTTCACAGAGGCAGAAGGAGTTGCTGGGCAGGGGGACAGTGGAATGGAGATCCGTTAATTGTTATATGGATAGGGAATTGCAGTTTGGAAAGATAAGAAAACACATGCTGCAGATGGAAGGAGGGGATGATGATTGCACCACGGCTTGAATGTACTTAATTGCCACTCAATGATACACATAAAATTAGTTAAAATGGCAAATTTTATCTTTTTTTAATTTAATTTTTTAATTTTTTTTTTTTTTGAGAGAGAAACAGAATGCAAGCGAGCAGGGAGAGAGAGAGAGAGGGAGACACAGAATCCGAAGCAGCTCCAGGCTCTGAGCTGTCAGCACAGAGCCCGATGTGGAGCTTGAACTCATGAACTGTGAGATCATGACCTGAGCCAAAGTTGGCCGCTTAACTGACTGAGCCCCCCAGGTGTCCCTAAAATGGCCAATTTTATCTTAATATTTTACTATAATAAGAAAAGAATTAGGATTAAAACATTACTTCGTTTCTGTGAAAAATATTTGAAATAATAGTTTAAATTTTAAGGTGAAGCTGGAAAAAGAAACCTGCACTCTTTGGGGCAATCCCTCATAATGAGAGGGGCACATGGTTGTTTTCAAAATGTAACTCAGTGTAGACCCGGGTGTCTTCAGAAAGCCAGGAACCAAAACCTGGTCCTCTGGCCTCCTAACCCCACAGTGCGGTAAATGAAACATTTCTTTTCTTGAATGTTTTTTAATTTATTTTTGAGAGAGAGAGGCAGCATGAGCAGGGGAGGGTCAGAGAGAGAAGGAGACACAGAATCCGAAGCAGGCTCCAGACTCTGAGCTGTCAGCACAGAGCCCTACACGGGGCTCGAATCCACGAACCGTGAGATCATGACCTGAGCTAAAGCCGGACGCTCAACCGACTGAGCCCCCCAGGCGCCCCAAAATGAAACACTTCTGACTGCAGCTCCCACCACCAGAGGTCACCGCCCTTCAGCACCTCCCACCAAGGTCCTTTTCTTCAAGTCTGAACGAACTTGCAACGAACTTGCACGAGTCCTAAGATGTGGGTCTTGCTCATGTCCCTGCAGGAAGGTGAGGTTCTTGCCCAAGGTCTTCCAGCCGGTTCGTGGCAGGACCGGGACCCAGACTCAGGGCCGCCGTCTGCTAACACGCACCTTATTTACTGGACGTATTGTCTGTCTCTGCTTCCGAGGTTGTAAACGCCGCGAAGATGGGGCTTGGCATCCGTTTTGTTTGCTCTTGTTCTCTTGGCGCCTCTCGCGGGGCCTGGCGCCCAGCCGGCTTGCAATGTGTTGAGTGAATGAATTGGATGAGGAGCTGATCCCGCCAACTCAGCAGCCTCAGCCCTGCCATCCCTCCGTCCATGCACCCACAGTGTCTCTCCTGGGGATGTGAGCCGTCCTGCCCCAGCATCTGCATGTGAGTGCGCGCGTGCACGCGCGCGCACACACACACGTGTGCATACAGGCCAGGCTGTTCCAGGCTGCTTTTCCTGTGCCATGGGCCCTCCCCTGCTGTTGCCACACTTATTTCCCAGGCCAGGTCCCACTAGACATTCACTGAGACCCAGTTCGATGTCATCTTGACAAGAAAGTCGGCTCCGACCTTTGCCCAACGGCAGAATTGGGTCTAGAAATTCTGTGTAATGATGACCTTATCTGCCCTCTGTAAGGACTTCCTGCATCGGATGCTCTATACTTCTTGGGCTCCTTCCACGTCTCTGCTCTCATTGAAGATGACACGTTGGGTCTGCCCAGTTTGGGTGGGAAGTCAAGAAGACACGTGACCAAAGCGAAAGGTTAGTAAGGAATAGGGATGAGATTTAGGGGCCTTGAGAAGAAAGGAGACCCAGCTTCCAGAAAGCCAGATTCTAGGGGAACAGGGGCACCTTGGTCAGAGCAAGAGAACAAATTAAAAAACCCCTTTTGTCCCCTGATACATCTAGCTCCCTTTATAGGGCTTGGTGAATCTGATACCAAACAGTTTAAGGGCTCTCATGTTTGT